TCCAACTCACTGTCATTGTCTGATGTCAGTGCCATGTGACAAGTAAAGCTTCTTGATTCTTATAAACCTTGGCCTTCATTACCCCCCACCCCCACCCCTCTGTATTTATATCCAACTGTGATGTTAAAAAAACAATAATTGATCAACATCTTCTTCCCACAGAAGCAGCCTGTCGATGCCCACATTTATGCGGTGAGACACACGACACATTCCACAGTTACCTGCAGTAAAAGTATTTTAATCATTTAGTCAGTCAGTACAGGGGAGTCCCAGAGTAAAATATATCTGCGGTGTAAACACTGATACACACATACATTTAAAGTTTGAGAGTACAAGAAAATAAGGAACTCTTAAACCCTGAGGCCAGTGCCAGAGAAGAGAAAAAAACATCATCAGGCCTGATGGGGTTTTTTAGTTTATTAAAAGAACATTCACTGATGTGTTGTTGGACAGGTGTGACTGAGTAATGCTGTGAAATTCAGAGTAATGTCATATTTAGCAGCAGTGTGTTTGTGAGTCACCCATCCTCTCCTGTGTTTGTGTCATTATGTCACTCAGGGCCTTGCTGCTCCGAGCAACGACACGTATGAAACCATCAGGATGGACAAAAAGACTGTCTTCTGACAGATACTGCTGTGATGTCCTCTCTGAAATCTTTATGACTGTTTTTTTTAACTCATGGCAGGTTTTTCATTATATATATATATATATATTCATGTATTAAAAAATATTCTTATGCTTTTACCTTCTGTCATGCATTGATGAAAAAAGCTAGAAAATACTAAAAGTGTACGACTATCGTGTGTATGTCTTAACGAATTGTTGATTTATTTTTTATGTTTTTTTAATATACGATTATAACTCCTGCCTTTTGTAAGTTAAATTAAGCAAAATAAACACAACATATCTCAGGAACCAAGTATGGTCAGCGTGATCTCAAAACGATTAACGATCTCAAACCTGTTTTTATTATAAATGTGTTGTAAATAAATAATCGCCTAGGGCTCCAAGTTTAGTTATTTTATATCCGTGTCCCAGTTAGAAACGACGTAAACATAATATTTAGCACAAGAAAATCACATATAATTATTTTACTGCGGGGTTTATATGTCAGAAATTATTATCAAGGGAAAAATCCACAGGGGGACATATTTACAGGTTGCACTGGTGCTACTGAAAAGGTGGTCTAAGAATGGAAACTGTCAGACTGGATTTCGGATGGATCTCAGCAGTTTCAGTTCAACTTGTAAACCATATGGGAATCATTTGTGTTATTTAAAAATAATTTTTAAATAACACAAATGATGTTTTTAAATTTTTTAAAAACTTTTAAAAAACAAAAACTTCATTAAACAATTAACGAGTAACAATCGAAAGTTAAAATTGGTTAAAAAGTGTACCGTAAACGCTAATGACTTTAAAGGCAAAGGGAAATAAATGGACTTCCCCACAAGAGGGCAGTGATAGACCGTCAAAAACAGAACTTGTCATTTACCACAGTTAAGAAAGTACAACTCTACAGATTCAAACAAGTCTGAGCGTCGTTTTCCCTCCGGCCGTTTTCACAGATAAAGAGAAAACTGTTGAACAAACCGTTGAACACACAGAAATACGGCAGAGATCCAGGGCTGTGTCGATGTCGGCCTCCATTTGAAGAAACGTGATGTAACGCCATCATTTATCATTATTTTATAGATTTTTTAAAAATGCAGTATTAAAACAAATGATAACTTTAACTCTCTTTTTAGCGACAACCAAACATTCAACAAACTAATTTAATTTATCTCTTGTTTTGAGGAAAATAAACACTTATACATAAAGACACTCATAAATAAAGCAGTGAACCTGCAGATTAATTACTGAATTAGGATTTATTTTTATTACCATCCAGAAAATGTATAACGAATTAATTCAAAGTAAAGTAGAATATACAGTATAGTATAAAACGTTATATAAGATACTTCTTAAGCTTAATCTTATCGCAGAAAAAAGTGAGTTTGCAAGTGTCCATTTTTTTATTGTTATCACAGAGCAGGTGAGAAGTGAAACTAAAGAAGTGTCGGCCTGTCACAGGTAAACATTTAAAAGACAAGACGGAACTTGAACTTCACACGAAATCATGCTCGGTTCACGTCCCTGTCCGAACTTTAAATTTAATACACACGCTCTGATGATTAAATAATAAACAAAAATGACAATATTTTAAGTAAATAATAAAACAAATCTAATGTTTAATTATATAATTTAGATAAATTAAATAATAATACCTCTGATAACCTTTACCAAACGCCGTATATTATTTACACTTCTTTTAGACCGATTATAAAACGAGCACAGTAATGGAAATAATAACTCAGAGTAAAATTAAAACGCGAAAACAATCCTGGAATCGGTCTTTTTGCACTTTTTTAAAGGTAAAAATAGAAGTACTGAAACTCAAAGCTCACCAGTAATAAAAAAACAAACATTAAAAAACATTATCTCCAGCGCTTCAATTATTGTAAAGACTCTTGTCTTTTCCTACTTTTTAAGCGTTTGTTTGAACGCAACAACGGTAACGGGCGGGGTCAGGTGGTGTTGTGGGCGGGGCCGGAACAGACAGGTGTACAGAGCGTTAGTACCGGACCGTCCGTGTCAGGACGACAGTCTTCAGTTTGTTCCGCGGTCGCTTTTCTTTCACCTTCTTTAAATATATATATATGTGTTTAAAAAACGTTTCCAGACTTTTCTGTGTGCACTCGTTTTTCCCACCGTGTGAACAGTTTCCCGGACTCTTCTCACACGAGAGAAAAACTTTGTTTTATGTTAAATTTAAACTTTTTTTCCCCCACGTGCGATCGCAGTGAGAGGAGAAAACACCTGCTGGAGCTTCCTGGCATTTTCCTGCTCCAGTGTTTATATTTATTATGAAATAATATTATTAATTAAAAAAAAAAGCTGAGGAATAAGAGCAGCAGAGTTTCTGTTTTCCGGGATAGAATGGAGTTCATTCTGATTCTGCTTCTACTTTGTGGTGAGTTCACCGTTTATTTTTTCTCCACTACTGCGTTAAAAGTTTAACAAATGTTTTGAACAGTTTTTTTATAATATCAGAGCCGAGTCTTAAAGTTACAGTTTGTTGTCAGTCCACAGATTAGGATGATTTAATCTGTCGTTTTATTCTTTATCCAGAAATTTAATGTCAAAAGCAAAGTGTCCATAGAGGAAGTAATTGTCGGAAAACATTGGAAAAAATCAACACTTCTGTCTGGACTCACACCTCAACTGTTAACTTTCTGTCATAAAATGATGTACAACCATCACTTTAAGAATTATGGAATTAATTAATTGATTGTAAATGTTAAGTAATTTGGTGACTTGAACTGGTTAAAAAACCAGACCGTAATCATAACCACGCGTGTTGGATCCACTGTGACTGCAGCTGTGATATTGTGATTTTTTTTTTTATGCTCCATGTTTGAACATCTGTCATCAGTCACTTCATGTCCACTCATATTCAGCTAAAACTAGTGACTTTGACCTTTGACCCTCATCAGTCCAGTTCCTGGGTTTTGCCTTCAGGGTCCATAAACTAATGCTCCTTGGTGCCGTGGTGGTATTAGATGAGTGCAGCTAAAGAAAGTAAGTGAAGCAGGAATCCCAACAAAAGCCGACGTCTGTAAACGTCGACCTGCCGCCGGTCCAGATAAAACAAAAAAGTGTGAGAAGCTGCTTCTGTTTTTTATTGATAAACCTTTGTTTTTGACTTCATACTTCTGGACACCAGTAGAGCGCCCCCTCAGGCCTCATCTGTTCAGAGGGACCTAATCATTGGGTCGTCACATTCCTGCGGCCCATTAGTTTATCCGTTTGTCAGCGTGCAGGCGGTGGACGAGGAAGCGGCGTGAGAGAATGCGGCTCCGTCACATTCTTACTTTTAGTAAACATGAATCAGAACATATTGCTCCATCTGTGTCTTTGAACGCCTCCGTCTGTCGTCGCCTTATGTCGTCGTTTATTGTCATTTTTCACCTGTTTTTGCCCCTCTGCCCTCCCTACTCCTTTTTTTCCTCTAGTTTCCTTGAGTTTCCAAGGCTCCATATGAGAAAATGGCCGAGAGCTACCTGTGTGTGTGTGTGTGTGTGTGTGTGGGGGGGGGGGATACGTTTGGAGACGTGTAATAATCTAATGGAAGTCAGATGTTTACATCATCGTCGTCACGGAAAAGTGTAGCGTCCAAACACATCTAAAGTTACTCCTTAAAGATGGCTTCAATTAACACATTTAAAAGTGACGTTATATTTCATATTTTAATATTATATTTAATAAAAAAGAGTTAGTTGTCAGTAAAACAAACGGCGCTGCTTTAACAGCGGCCTGTTCTCAGCTGCAGGTCTTTTTCCGGGGCTTCACCCTGCAACACAAGCCTGCATCAGAGATAGCTCAGTCCATATTTTATATTCCATCTGTGGGAGCAGCCCAATATCACATTCAGGCTGTGTGTCTACAGTTGAAGAAGTGTGTGTACACACACACACACAATGATTATTTTTCTCCTGCAGCCACTCAAGCAGAGTGAACTGAACTGGACGAGCCTGAAAAGCTGCCTTGTGACATTCAAATGAACTCTATGTTTTTCTGACTTTATGTGTGCGTGTGTGTGTGCGTGCGTGTGTGTGTGTGTGTGCGTTTGTTTTCATTTGATCTTTATCTCTGTACCTATGTATTACTTTCTTTCTACTTTCGTCTAGATTTACTCAGAATTTTCTCTCTGGATTTAAAAGTTCATCCTGCAGCTTCACCAGCTCTGTGGTGTGTGTGTGTGTGTGTGTGTGTGTTTGTTTGTTTGTCGAACTGCAGTTACTCCCAGTTTGGACAGAGAACTATTTCTAAGAGTCGTTTGATTTCAGTCACGACCGTTCATCTGGACGGTGTCTGAACAACCCGTCCGACTGTTGTGTCAGTCAGACTGTCAGTCGTCGTCCGGCTGCTCTGCCCAGAGGTTGAAGCCTCCGCTGGTTGATGAGTTGTTTGGCTTCTGTAGTGAGTGTATTGGAGCGACGATAAGTGAAAGGACGGTGGATTTACTGCGTTGACGCCGTGCGTCCTTCTGTCCCGGTGATAAACTGCAGGAGACATTTGTGACAATTTATGAATGAATTGATTTGAACAGCCCTAAAATAAAACGTGTTTCCTCCAGAAGTCTCTCTCTCTCTCACACACACACACACACATACACACTGTGACACATTAACACCTACAGTAACCCTTGACCAGCTGTGACAGGAGCTCAGTCATTGTAAGTCACACAGTCGATCTTATAATGAAACTCAGGGTGAGTGACACGTCTACACACACACACACACTCTCTCTCTGCTTGTACCACAGGTGTAAAGTGAAGCCTGGTTTTTATGTAAATCAGGGCAAAAAACCCAACAGTTAGAAAATCGACCGTTGCCATAGAAACATCCACATCTTTTATCTAACTGACTGAACTTTAAGGAGGAAAAAAAAAACAGAAATCCACTGAAGGATGTTGTTCTTTGGTCACACAGTGGTGAAGTGTTTAACAGGATGGTGGCACTCAGTAGAAGGGTTCGGTTGAAGTGACCAGGTCAGTGATGGACCGGTCCTGGTCTGAACCCGTTCGTCAACAGGAAGTGTCTGCTTTCACAGGTGGAACTGGCTCCAGTCAAACTGCCATTGCCCCCCGACGCCCTCCCCCTCCCTGCCTTTATTTACGTTGTCTGCTTGTCAACACTGGAGCAGGTTTGTTGCAGTGTGGTCTGGCGTCAGGTGTGTCTGTGAGCTGATGGCGTGTTTGTCTGTTGACCGTTCGTCCAGTCCAGTCTTGTGATGAAGTCACAACCGAAACTAAAAACGTACAGCGCTGGTCCGTGTCGGCACCAAAAGACAAACGGCACGAAGAAGATTTCTTGTTTACAACAAATGTCAAATATTTGTGATTGTCTTCGTTCCATCGTCTCCTCTCTTGTCCACGTCCCCAGTGTCCAGTGTCCAGAGTGACTTCACTGAACCTCTTCAGCCTCACATCACGCTCCGGGCGCTGGCAGAGTCTCAGACCAGACTTCCCTGTCGATACAAGCCGAGCGAGGGGGAGAAGGTGGTGCAGGTCACATGGTACAAGGTGCTGGCAGACGGCGCCAAGGACCAGATCATCACGGCCCACTTCACAGCCGGCCTCCAAGGTAAGCTGTCAGCTGGACGTCCTGGTTAGCTGTGGATTAATCAACGATTAATCATCAGTATCAGACATGATTCAACCAGATAAATCAACATTCCTGAATATTTTGCAACAGAAGTACAAACAACTGTCAGTGAGTCTCACCTGCTGTTACCTGCTGTTACTGCTGTTACCTGGTGTTACCTGGTGTTACCTGGTGTTACCTGGTGGTTCCTGGTGTTACCTGGTGTTACCTGGTGTTACCACAGCAGATCCTCTTCATCTCTATGTTCTTGTTTTGACCATTTGATTCTGATCTTCAGCGTTTGATCCTTACTCCGGCCGTGTGAGGTTCGAGAGCAGCAACCCCACAGAAAACTCGGCTCTTCTCATCCCCACCACGGAGGAGTCGGACGAGGGCAGCTACGCCTGCCACATCTCCGCCTTCCCCAACGGGAACTTTGAGAGATCCATCAGCCTCACTGTCTGGAGTAAGTCTAGAGTCAGGCCTCGACACCTCCGTACCCAGATGCCAGCTGTCAGTCACAGCCCAGTGGGGGGCAGTGTGGCGCTGATGCTCTTTTCTTTTTCTGCTGATCCATAACAGCTGTTGTCGTTGCTAATCCCGACTCTCAGTGGAGGAAGGACTTAAACCTTCACAACAACAC